TAAGTACAATTGTAAAAGACACATATAAAACTATTTACTGGTTAAAATTTATATTTAGCTCGTGGTTGTGCTCTTAAACTATATTTGCCTTTTTGGTTTAATCCTAACACTACTTGTTGACTAACTAAAAGAAAATTCTACGAGGAAAACGAAATTAAATTTAAATGTGATTTCCTTATCATATATATTATCAACACAATATGTATATGTGAATCTATTGGAGAGATTACAGTTCAAAAAACTACCATTTTACATGAAGTCAAGGTAAAAAATAAAGAATTCTAAAATAGTATTGAAACCATTTCATGATGGAAAAAACTGTGGTCGTATGATAAATATCGAACTCTATCAATTGGAGTTAAAGTGATAGTATGTAAAAATATTGATTTCGATAATTTTATAATTAATAGTAACGAAGCAAGAATTCAAAACGAGAGGATCAAAATTTCATAATAGCAAACAGAAAATTTAAAACTAAAAATGAACAGTATATATCAGTTAATAATTACGTTAATGCCAAACTACCAAAAGATATTACATTAAAAAGTTATTTAATGGTATATATATATTTTCAGCAAAAATCTTGGTCTATAAATTCGAAAACAAATCAAACTTGTTCAAAAAGTCGAAAACACATATCATTCAACTCGGTCTTAGACACTGATTTTAAATATGACATTGACATTGCAAAAAATTTAAAATTTGATAGTGAAAACTGCAAAATAAAAGTGCATATCCATTATTTTGTCACTCATTTTAAAAAAATCCTTTTTCTCAGCAATGAAACAGAAATTTCATACTTTTGCATTACAGAAAATCCATACTTTTTTCCTGGCAGATATACTGTTTTGAATGAAATCGGAAAGAACGCTTAGTCTTTCAATGAAAAAAAATTAGATAGGTTTACAAGGTAGAAAGTGGGATTTTCACGGTTCTGCTTGTGTTTCTCCAATTTTGACCTCGTTTCAGCTTTGAAAAATAGAAAATTTAAGTTTTCATATTCAATTGAAGTATCTTTTAGTATTTAAGTATACTTAAATACTGAGATATACCTAAAGCACTTACTCACTGAGCTGTTTTCACATATTCAACGTAATTTTTAACTGATTATTTCTAAATACCTGTCGGCAACCATTATGGTACTTTTGAGTATCACACAACTCGATATCGAACATATCAAGAGATTCGTCGACGTAGTAATGAAAAAACTTTATTATTTTGAACATGATGTGACAACTATCTAATACATGAGCACACAAAATAAAAATTAGGATATTAGCAGTATATCCACTCTAAATGCTCCTTTGGTCGACAAGCTTGAGGACACTCCTGAAATGGCGCTCCATTACTTCCACAGCATCCTCTCACACCGCCAATGAAACAGTTTGTTTCATTAACCGGCTGTCGACGAGTAGGATAGGGTCTAGAATTCTTACCATACCATGTCTGGCATAAGAAACTATCATGAGCAATCACATCATTATGTATATGGGGCCAGATTTGATCTGATAAAAATGTTTGATCACCTCTCTTATCATAGCGCCTGATTAGTCCTTTATTGCGTATTTTATTTAAAAATTCTTTTGAAAATGAACGATTTATCGAGGGACGAAAACCCCACATTCCGCCTAACATTGGCACACTGTGTAGAGGATGATCTCGCATGGCATGAAACGATTTATTTGACATTAACCATTCATGAACAGCGTCTAGTTCACGTTTTGTTAATGCTGAATCTAGATCCCGACTCCCCATGATGTCTACCAGTTCATCACCTGCAGGAAGAAATCGCCAGATCTTTGGTGGAACATAGTCAATGTTCAATAAGCTAATATCACAAAAGTCAACGTTAAAATGTGCACATTCAACAGGACAAATAACTGATAAATTGATTATAGAGTCATGATAAACACGTAATATCCAGTCAGGATAGATTGTGTACATCTCCGAAATGAGATCATTTAAGAATTTTAGCGTTGAGGAAAGATCGAATATCATGTTTTCTTTCTGTCCAAAAGCGCTAATTGATATAATTTTTTGGTTCCAACCACGAAGGGTAGAAAATTCACTACATAACGACGATTTAGTTGAATTTATAGAAAAGATTGGTTGTGTCAACTGTCTCGTACATTTACAATTTGTTCGTTTATACACTAGAGTGCCATCACTATGATTTAAGTACGTGATCGTGTGCGATTTTGTGTTGAGGACCAAGTTTGTGTTATACCATAACAAAACACAAATACTTAATACACTCCCGATAAATACGAACAAAACGATGTTTTGTGTCATTCAACGATGTCTAAAGAGAAAAATAATTTATTGAATGCTGATCACAATAAAAATTTCATTAGGTTCTGCTTGGCACAATACTGAATTTATAATATTTGCCTATGGCTATCGTATTACAAAGCGATCAAACAGGATAAAAGTTAGTAAACTTCTTGGTTGTACCTTGCGAAATGTGTCCTAGTAGTATTTCAGTGTATACTGAGTATAGCTTTTTTCACGATCTATTCAACATTGCTTGTCATTAATGTGGTCGTTAGATGGTCAAATTAATAGAGCTCCAAACTCGATGATTTAAACTACTAAAACGTTGATATTATAAGTTTTACTCAATAGTAATTGTGCCATTCAAAGTAGAAGTGTCATTTTACGTTATTCTAATGCTTTCAATACTGAAACGGTATACGTGCGTGGTTTGCTCTTTGATTAAATTGAAAGAATAACACAGAATAGCACTAAAAATTTATGACTTCATTTATCAGATCTAAGTAAATATTACTCACAAGACATGAAACAATGTTTATTATATAAAAAGATAAGAATATAGAGCACCATCCTAACTCACACTCAGAATGTAACGATGATAAAAAGGATTATAATAAGCGTGCTGCATGTGAAAGTAGCAAATCTTCTCGATTCATGTACCATGTGGATAATCGGAGTTGATATTCAGGTCAAATATTGGTGAACGTCCGATGGAAGCCTGACAAACAGGGTTTGGTGAGCGCCAATTACCGAAAAGCTATGCTCGAATTGGCGATAGTGTAATGGAGTTTGGCCAGTAGTGGCGCCTCTCTGTTTTTGATGGGTTGTTACCCTTACTAGCGTACGGAAGAACTTCAAAATTCTAGCGTGGTAAACTTCGTTAAAAAGTGTTTTTTCTGTCGATAATTTACCGTTACCGCTCATTCCTGTTAAAACTGGGGATCAAAACAGGAAAATGGCACAAAAAAATGGTGCTCATCACAACATACTCGACTTAAGTTCTCGTATCTATTCCTTTACAAATCTTAATCTTCTTAAAAAATCCTCTTCTGCAATAGGCGACCCCGCCACCCCGTGCAATTTGGTCAAGTGACGGTTCCCTTGTGGCTTGGTACGGAGTGTATTTTAATTACTGCGACTCCGCATTTTCCCCCGTTCTTAACCTCTTGGGATCTAAGACAAAATTTTATCTTTGATTTTGTACTTTGAATAAAAAATTAAGCAAACATTGCCTTTTTTTGTCCATGTCCGTTCAGTATTTTTACTGTTTCAATATTGTCGCGTTAACAGATACAGTTTTTAATGATTTACTCCTCAATCTGCTTTTTTGAATTTCGACATTTCTGCAAACGGAATTTCTGTATTGGCATTTCGACAGCTTTGACAAAAGCAGAAATGCATTTGGAATTTTTGCTTTTTGCAGAATTTTTTTAACATATTTATAGGTAATGAAAAAGAAAAATGTAGAATGCTTAACAAAAGAATGTTGCTAAATTTATTTCGTATTAAATTCATTCCCAAATACATTAATTAAGCCAGGATATTATTTTTGACGGTATTGTAATTTTGACAGTGCTGTTGTCAAAATTCTAAAATAATTTCTAAAATTTTACAAATTTCAATGGAATTTTCTAAATTCTCAGAAATTCCAAGTGCAGATCGGCGAGTTTACCTCTTTAATTTTCTTTTCAATTTATAAACTTCATCATTCTTATCATAAGAATAAATATCTATAATTATTTGTTTGATTTGATCATATTGTTGACGATTATGGTTCAATAACTTACCTAGGACTTTTAATAGTAAACAACATGTTATTTCTAATTGTTTACAATTTGGTGACAATAACAATAACCATTGGAAAAAACATAATCAGTAAGACAGTTGTCATAAATAATTATGAATTTAACTATTTGTATTTGCAATATAATATCTGATATGACATCATTTTGTAGATCAGGAGTGTGTGTGCTGTGTAGTAGTAGCATATTTGGAAATCTGTAAGAAGAAAAGTAAGAAATCTAGTTAAATTTTAGACGTCTTCATCACTTTTGTCAGAAATCGATTTCTTTACGTATACATTCGATCAAAATCGCAAGATCGCTCTTCTACTAGAAAACCATTAATCTTGCTAAAAACACGTTTCTGATATGAAGCAAATTCGAAAGTCTTGCAAGAATCTGCATACGCTCAGTGTCCTACAGTGGTCAGCGATGCGAACATCAAAGTTGAAAATGGACTGGCAGGCCAGTTTTACACTGGTTCGGTGTAAAAGTTCAGACCGGCCGAGCTGTTGCCCATCTAGAAAAATTTTCAAATCGGCCGGTGTCGATCAGTTTTTTGTTGTTTCTAGCATTTTTCTCGTCTTCATTCAAAAGAAATTTGATAAAACGACTAAGAGAAATAAGAAAAAGCTAGCGAAGACCACTTTTTTCTTAAAGATTTATTGATAAGTTCTCAATCGGTCGGTTTTTTTGCAGGTTTTCACCAGTCTAAAAAGATTTTGGGGCCTGATTCTAGTTTTCTCTCATCTTCAACTACAAGATGTTTTTGGAGACCATTTGAAATGTTGGGATAACTTTTTTGTAAATAACTATGATTCAGCAAAATAAACAGATGGTAACAAAATAAACGGCAAAGGAGTTATTTGTGCTTGAAGCTGAAGGTAGCCAGATTTCCGAGCCCCCGTTTGAACTTGTACCTCAAAGAAATCAAACTCGTTCCCAATCTAAGCGGTTTTTCGTACAGCTGCGATCAGCATAATGAGAACCCAACATTTTCCCAAGTCTTAAACCCACTCAAACTTTCTTGATAAAAAGGGAGTTTTGCTTTCAAAATATGCGTGTCTATTTCAAAGTTTGAAATAGGTACACGTTTTTTCGAAATTCAAAATTTAACACAAAAAAGTGATTCACACAGTTCTATAGATTTTTTGCTATGAAAAATCTAATGGGCATATATGCGCGCATATGCCCATTACATTCCTAAAGGTCAAAAATCAGCAAAAAACACTTGTAAAGACAACAGAAATAATGCGTTAGAACGATGACACTTCGGTCTATTGGCCATTTGATTTTCTAAAAATGGATATTTTGATCCCAAATCAACTTTTCTGACAGAGAGTCTTCGAAGGCAACGTATTATGAAATCAAACACAGCATCTCTGCTTTCTCGTGAAAATTAAAACGCTAGCTAGATAAAGAAATCAAACTAGAATAGAAGAATGTGCTCAGCATTTGTTTCAAATTATATTTGTAAAAATTATTTGATCTAATACAAAAAAAACGAGTTGTATTTATCAGCATTTCTTCATATCGATATTCAACCGACCAGTTAGTGAACTCATCTACGAGATAGCTATTTTATTTGACGATTTATCTTCCTTATGTATACATTTTTTTAGGGCGCTATTGTTTCGCCTAACGTTCTTTTCACTTTAGGACTGACAAAATACGGAGGCACGTTTGGTAATTTAAACTTATCGTCTTCCTGTTTAGGTCGATCACATTCTTCTAGACATATTTCTGTTTTTTCAGTATCTCGCGTGATACTCATAATTTCAAAAGCAGCGAACGGCAATATAAGGACTTCATCTTCCTCTGGAAATTCTGAAATCTCAGCGATATATAATGCCGTGCGACTGTTTCGAATTTTATATATACACAATACCGACACATCATTGTTGGGATTCTCTTCTACATTGTTGAATTGTTTTGCAACATTTAGTGTTTTTGATGTGGAAAGAAATGTTGTATTGACAATTCGTATACCACATCTGTAATTAGATAAACACATTTCATTAACAGTCATACCACGATAGACTTTACCAATATAACTATAGGATTCAAAACTAGGATGATGTAGTAATATCGATGTTATTGACATAACACCATCTTGAGTAGAATACAAACGTGTGCAAAAGAATTGTGAGCAACCTTGTTTGAGATCATGAATAACATTACGTGCCATGTCACCATTAACGTACTTATAAAAACTAGTGCCTGAAGTATAAGCCTTAATAATGTAAAACGGATTTTGTTCCTTGCTTGCTTTGTTAAAAAAATATTTGATACTATCACCCAGTTGCATACCGCGTAATCGTGAACCAAGATAGCCTTTTTTAATCGAAGAAATTTTATTTTGTAAGTCATGTACAACACCATGTCCATAGAACATAGAATGTTTGGATTCTCTGCGAAATCTCTCAGCTTTCTCGGCTGCATGATCATCCAAAATCTCCCATTCACATGGATCTTCATTATCACAAAGAGAACAACGATTTACCTGATTCAAATTAGTGTTTTTATTAGAACTAAATGTTTTATATGACTTCTTTTGTTGTTGATAATACGGTAGACAACCATTTACGTATGTAAAACGTGTATGGCAATTCTCACGTTTAAATAAATTTCGGATTTCATCGGTCTCAGCTATTTCATATGGTCGATGATTATTAATATTTCTTATTGATCGACATGCATTTCGTTTTAACAGTAATTTAATGATTTCTGGAGAACGATTGAGTACTGCTATGTGCAGTGCAGTGTTTCCATTTACCTCGACCCGATTAATATCTTTAATGGATAGATTTTTAATATATCGTTCTACTGCTAGAATATTGTTGTTTGCACAAAATTGATACAGTTTACTGAATGATCGTTTTTGTCTCTTATCATATACAGCCAAATGATCGGGTGATTTATCTAATCTAGACGTCCACATGTTCGATGTTCACGTGGGAGAGCAGACTATATATTTCTGTGTTGAGAAAAGTCTATTCTATTTTTCATACCATATTAAATAATATATTTTCTCGTATTCTGTCGATAAATGTAAATTTTTCTGATAGTTTTTTCTGTTGTATGACGCACTTACATTACTTCCTAAAACTATACACATTTTAAACATATCTACAGAGTTAATGTCAGTAAATATTACTTTTTTTCTCCTTTCTCCGTTCTCTTTCTCTGTGGGACGTGCAATAGGAATGGTGACATGTATGAAGAGGTGGCATTGGCGGGGGTGGTTAAACAAAAACATGTAAACCAAAAAAGACGCCTATTTCTTACTCTAGTATAAAACTTCTTGAAGAACTCATAAAATGCTAGAAGTGACTTTCATATACTTCGTAAATCAAGATCATAAAAGTAGAACTTCTTAGCATAAGTTAAAGCGTATACAGAAAAAATGCCAAAATCTTCACAAAAAGCTGAAGATTTTGGAACATTTTCTCGAAATAAGGTGGAAGGCCATCTGGTAAAACACTATAAGCCAAAAATCCTTAGAGCATCCAATATATTCTTCCGACGTTCCCTCTTTTTGCCGTGAGCATTTTTGAACAGTTTGAGAAGGAAATGTGATAGAGAGTTCGGGTTTCACTATTCCAAAAAGAGACTTTGGGGCACATTTTAACCACGGATATTAATTCGAAAATATCGTTCTAAAGTAGTTTTTTGAGGAGATCTTTGGAAAACCAGCTCACAATTCAAAAACTTCAGGAGCGAATACTTTTGCTTTTCTTCATAAGCAGATAATTCAAAGCATCCTCTTCAGAAAGGGAGTCAAGCGAGACCTTGATTTTCGATGATGGGAACGTGGCATCCGATTTCCTTGGAGCGTCAGGACTGGTATCTAGTGACTTCAGGTAGTCTTGAATCGTGTGGGACATACGTACTTGACCACGCTGAACCTGCCGGAAATGTTTGTTTTGGGAAACGAATCCGGAAATCGGGTGAAAATCGAGTCTTATCAAAATTAGGAGTTTCCAGACTGTTTTCACTTAAAATTAAAAAATTTATAATTCACTCGAAAAACATCAGAATGGCTTGAAAACTTCAGAATGTAGCTAGTTTTGTCTAATTAATATGATTATACGATCGAAAAAAATTGAAAAAGTATAATTTTGATTGTAAAGTTTACTGAAAATCTTTTCGAAGAACTATAGGATTTTTTAAATTAGTTAATATTAACTTAATATGGAAAATTTTATTGGACAAAAGTTTCCTTCGCAAAAAGTAATTGTTACGTGTTAACTTTTTTTAACTAATACAATGGACGAAAGTAACAGCTATTCACACAGGTCATTGGTTATAATTAGGGGTGTTAATTTAGTGTTACTTTGGAAAATAAATGTAAATGAATCATTTACACTTAAAAAATAAAGATAAATTCTTCATTTATATTTAAAAAATAAATATAAATAAATCAGAAAAAATTTATCTTTATTTTGTAAAAGTAAATGATTCATTTATATTTATTTATTTCTACCTTTATTTCTAAAAGTAAAGGTAGAAATAAATAAACAAATATAAATGAATGATTTACTTTTATAAAATAAAGATAAATTTTTTTTTGATTTATTTATCGTCATGGAGAGTATCTTGGTAAAACTATTAGGCAAATGAGTCGTAGAACAAACGAACATGAGAAAGATGTGGATAAAGCTATGATATTCCTCACTAGGGGTTTATATCAGAATAAAAATAAACGAAATGCAAAAAAGCAAATAATT